TTGTCTTTTAAAGAAACTGAACAAGGGGCAAAAACTTTACCTTTGATTTTCTCAAAACAGCATTTTTTGGGATAGTCCCCTTATGCTTAAAAGCGACCATTTATGTCATAGTGTGACGGCTGTCGATTCTGAAGAGACAACGACTCTTATGAAACAGCAATTTTGAGATACTGCAAACTGGGGTTTAAATCATTATTAACAACAGACCACAGGCGAATCAAATTCTTTTTCGCGAACCAAGTGAACATAACCACGACGCAGAAGCATCACGAACAATTTAGGGACATTAATGTAGCTAGAGGAGTGGTAAAGAGGAAAGCAACTGAAGATTTGAACACCAAACCAAGTACACTTGTTTGCTCTGAAGTAGTCAGTGAAGCATAGTAGTTAACTTACGAGCGGAGACCCAACATGACTTGTTTTATTCGGAACTCGGTCTGCCATGCTCGTCTCAAGAACAGACGACAGTTACCAAATGACCAAGAAAAGACTTATTGATACCGTTGATAAGTTTTTCCTGACAAGGATCATAGGTGTATGATGGCAGTCTCAAGACGGTTGAACGTATGGAGGGAAAAATGAAGAATTGGTGTCGATTACCCTAAAAAGAAATGAAAGGAGATATCTCTACTCGGGAGCTGCTCGCTATTCCAATTTTAGAAAATATTTTGTTTTGTGAAAAACAGAGATAACATCGCTCTCTATTCCCGTGTCCTCCAGATCTAGAGTGTGTTGATAGGGGCGTAAAAGCACCTATAATAAAAAGAAAACCAGAAAAAACCAGACAAAAAGAAAAAAAAAAGGAATTTAAACCATGTTCGAGTGAGGTGGAGAAGATCAGCCTAGTCTAACTGGTCGTCTCGTCACCATTCTGCAGATTCTGCAAAATTCGTGAGTTGTGCACTCAACTTAAGCGAGACGTAGTTGAGAACCGTTTTCTCATTATCGTACTCAAAACTTAACATAAAAATAGTTAAGAACCTTTTGTCACTTTCGTTCACTAATGCAACTTCATTATTGTGCACCAGAAATAGCGAAGAACCATTTTCTTATTATCGTGCACAAAACTTCACCCAGGAATAGCTATGAAGCATTTTGTCATTATCGTGCATATAACTTAACCCAGAAATAATTGAGAACCATTTTGTAATCATCGCGCACTTAAAGTTACCTCGTTATCATGAACCCAGTCTAACCCAGTAAATAGCTGAGAAGCATTTTCTCATTATTGTGCACACAATATAAGCAAGAAATAATTGAGAACTATACATGTTTTAACCACAAACTCTAGGCTCCAATTTTTGGTTTCCAGTACAGCATTCTGTAAAAAATAAAATGAAATAACAAACAAACTATAACAACAACAAGAAAACTTTTATCTTTCCTAATTCCAACTTGATTGTAGCGTTTTTCTGGCTTTATAATTTGTTTCTGCCTTTCAAGTATAAAAAATGGAGTATGGCTGTTGAAACCTATTAATTTTACTTAAAAAAGCGGCAGATGTAATTCGAATTCTAATTTCGCCTTTGTTCTGTTTCTTTTCCATCTATCAACCCTTTATTCCCTATCTATCTATCTATCTATCTATCTATCTATCTATCTATCTATCTATCTATCTATCTATCTATCTATCTATCTATCTATCTATCTATCTA